GAAATTAACTTTCAAGTCTATCCACCAAATCCAACAAGCGTGCTGGGCCTCCACCTCTGCAGAGCCTGGTAGGTCCTGTGCATTGTAACCGCCACTTCATTGGTTGTAATGACCTTCTCTTTTCCTTTCTTCAACTCAGACGTTCTTGGAGTTCACAAATGCCGGTGCTTCATTTGTCTTTGGTGAGAAATACACAGACCACTTCTTTGCATTCAAGGTAATCCCAAGCTCCTTTTCTATGTAGCCACTTTCTTTTCAATAACTTCTCAGTCTGTGTAGCCGTTCAGATAGAACCTAACCCACCATAAACCAGGTATAAGTTGTAGGTGTACAGCATATTGTTGCCCTTTTTCATTTACAATGATATCTGAAGTCAGTGGACTGCAAACATTTTACTTTGTAACCATAGCATTTTTTTTTTTAATTAAATCTTTATTGTTCAGGTTACATTTGTTCCTCTTTTTTTCCCCCCCATAACTCCCCTCCTCCCAGTTCCCACCCCCCCCTCCGCCCTCACTCCCCACCCACTGTCCTCATCCATAGGTGCACGATTTTTGTCCAGTTTCTTCTTGTATTTTTAAGTGGTTGTTTGCGGCAGCAGTCTCCGGTGTTTACCTATGCCGCCATCTTGGTCTCCGACCTGTAACCATAGCATTAAGGGGAACATCTAGAGGAAGTTGGAAATATTAAAAGAATCCTTTTGGGAGTGGGCTTGTAGAATGCCTGAGATACTTATGAAAATCATATGGGGTAAAAGTACCTGGGATTTCAGGGAAAAGGACATTAGGTACCTGGCAGTGAAGAGGCCACTAATGGTTCCAGGTCCAGGATCGGTGACAGCTCTGTGCTCAGGAAACCCTTCAGTCCCAAGCAAATCAGAACAGCTGGTTACCCACATCAACCTCATCTTCCAGGACCATCCCCATGCTAAATCTCTCCCATCTTTCCTTGAGCACAGCCTTTGCCTATGCAGGCCTGGAGGCAGGGCCTTCTCCCAACCAAAAGAGAGAGATGTTATTCTACAAGAGAAAGGCCAGCTGGCCCCATGGCCAGGCCTAATATGTTCCCTCCCAAGACTCCCACAAGCCCAGGAAGCTCACCTTCCTTGGGGGAATCCCTATAAATTCTTATTGATGAGCCGGAAAGATGCATGTGGCTTTTCATTCCACTTTATTCTTTTGTGGTATGTTATTGTTCCTACACTTCTAAATTGTTTGCTCACTTAGTGACTCCCAATTTACCTCCAAAGAACCCCAGCATTGGTTAGGCCAACTGTTAACGGTGAACCTTTAGAAACTGCTGATTTTTTAAACCGTTGATTTGATGCTTTGGTGCTGAGATAACTAAGCCATCTTGGAAAGGTCAAGTGTTTATAAATTGAGATGGAAGTGTGCTCATATCATGAATTTAATTCAGAACTGGGAAAAATAAAGCCACAGGGAAGATGAAATTTGCTGTCCAGACTGTCTGAGTGTCTTCAGATCTTGTTCTCCGGGGCAGCAACATCTATCCTGTCCACCGAAGCAGAATCCCAGTGGAAACACTGGAGAGATGAGCCCCTCCAACTCCCTGAGGCTTTCAGAAGGGCTCTGTCTTCCCATTAAAGCCAATAAAAGGACATGCGTGAGCTCTCAAGAATGGCACAGAATGTCTTTTAATATATATTATTAATAGATTTTTCTAAATTAGATCTTGTACAAACTGTCTTCAGCCATTCTGTGCCTCTGGTGGAGGCTTATCTCCAGCCATTTAGCTGGGGAGCAGAGGGCTTGAAGGGGTGCGGTGGGGTAGGGGTGCGGAGGTCGTAGACCACAGCTCTCAGTGATCTCCGCGGGGTACAAGCTGCTCCCTGTAGACACACAGGTTGCATTGAAGGCACCCAAAGAGCATCAGGAAAATAGGATCCAGAAAAAAGACAATATTTTGTTAGCACAGATGTTACCTAGTTTCCCAAGTTTGATCATTTCAGCGATTCAAAAATCTAGAAGTAAAATAGTTATTACCTTCAAAGCTAAATGAATGAGTGCTTACTCTATAGGAGGCACAGTGTGTAAGCACTTACCACGCTGTAGCTGATCTGTGCAGCCACTATGAATAAGGATCTAAGGTTGCTCACACTTGATCTCCACTATGAGTGGTGGCACCCATGTCTGCTAAATATCAGAGTAAGTATATCTCCCAGTAGCACCTTCAGTTTGTTGGTCTAGTTATTACAAATTCCTCTCAAACTTCATTCCTTCTCAGAGAAACTAAAGTAAGAAGAGCTCATTGTAGCAGAGGGAAAAAATGTCTATTTTCCTATGAAATATACTCAAGCTTACCCAGAACAAATTAGAATAAGAGACAGTCCATGGGGAAGCTGCCCAATAAAAGTGTTGTTTTGTTCGAGAGGAGTTCCTAGTATTGTTATGACGCCTCAGAGGGAGGCAGAAAGGAGACGGATCTGAAACCTACTAACACCAGGAGGGCCAACATTAACCCGTGATCACTTTCATCTCCACCCACCCAGATCCTCCCCATCGTGATCTTCTTCAGCACTGTCATGTCCATGCTCTACTACCTCGGACTGATGCAGTGGATCGTTAGAAAGGTACCTGGACTGGAAGGGATTGGGTGACAGGTGTAGAACTGGATTATTTCAGGGACAAAGTCTTATCGGCCTTTTATCCAGGTTTTTCCAAGTATTTTTCTCTTTGTACCAAGATCCGCCACCACCCATATTATTTGATTGAAATGCCCCAAATCCCACATGTTTCCATGGAGAGAATGTTATCTCAGGGACTTCTATTAGCTATTACTTCTTTAAGTCAAAGACTTGACGCCAACAGGTCAGACACCTGCCGGGGAAAGCAACATTGTTCCTTCATCCTGGCTGCCCACCCGGCACCTTACACAGAGTAGGTCTATGTAAGGAGGTCACAAAAGTCTAGGGCAGGGGTGGGCAAACTTTTTGACTCGAGGGCCACAATGGGTTCTTAAACTGGACCGGAGGGCCGTAACAAAAGCATGGATGGAGTGTTTGTGTGAACTAATATAAATTCAAAGTAAACATCATTACATAAAAGGGTACGGTCTTTTTTTTTTTAGTTTTATTCATTTCAAACGGGCCGGATCCGGCCCGCAGGCCGTAGTTTGCCCACGGCTGGTCTAGGGGCTGCTAGAGAATCAACGCAAGAAGGAAGAAGGCAAAGCTGCTTTTCGCTTCTAGGGGAGTTTTGTAAGCACACAATGTTTGCTTTAAATATGAAAAGTTTATCTCCTTCCTGCTGCCTCAGCAACTGTCAGTCCTACACTCATGTTTGATTTTAAAAAGTAGGAAATTTTTAACAGAGCTTGAATGCACATGAGAGTGAAGCAGTACATACAGGGCCTTGGCATAGTCAGGCCCGCCTTTTATTTCTGTAAATAAATAAAATGGATCAAGGGCGGAAGGGAGAGAGGGAGGAAGGGAAGGGGGGGAGAGGGAGAGAGAGAGAGAGAGAGAGAAAACGAACCAGATGAATACCAGCAGATTCAGAATTTCAACAATAGAGCCAGGGCCCATAATTATCTGCTTGTCAATTTAAACATTCAGAATTACTGTGTCTAAACAGAAAGGAGAGAAAATGCAATTGGAAGTCCTCATCCTGAGGTGGCCCCACAGGCTCTGGTTGGAAGGACCAGTACAAAAACCGGACCATAAGCTATGTTCATTTCAGTTAAGCAGGAAAGGCCAAAACTCAACTACATGAACTACTTAGTAGCTGGGTGATCTTTCACAACACAACTAAACTGACTGTGCCTTGGTTGCCCCTTCTATAAAATGGGCATTGCCCTGGCTGGTGTGGCGCAGGTTCAATTCCAAGTCAAGGGCATGTACCTGGGTTGCAGGTTTGATCCCCAGCTCTGCGGTCTGGGCACGTGGAGGAAGCAACCAATCAGTGTGTCTCTGTCACATCGATTTCTTCTGTTTCT